GAGTGATTGGGATCACAGTATAACTTAGGTACTAGTACAAATAAAGTTTGTAATACAAATTGTTGTGTATAATTAATAAAAACCAAATAAGAAAGTAACTGATTGTGTTCAATAAATTTCTATAAATAAATGAAGTACAAGATTTTGGTATAAATTAATAAAATATAATTTAGAAAATGATGATATAATTAAATAAAAGTTGTATAAGAGAAAAAGAAGATAAGGTAAGAACAAAAGATAAGAAAAAGTTTTTACAAGAAAATAAAAGATAAATTTAGCTATATTTTAACCAATATTGGGTCAAAATTCTTCTTTCAGAGCTTGTTTTGATCAGGCAAATGTGTGCTACAATTTTAATTAAGGGTATAAGATAAGTTATTATAATAAAAACTGCAAGAAGATTAAAATTTTGAAACTAGAGGCCAAAGATTATCAGTATAGTTTTCTTTATGAGTTTAAGAAATAAATTTATAATATTTTCAAAATATATGTAAATTGATGAGCTAAACAAGTTTATTTAAGATGCCAGGGCAGGTTGTCTTAATAAAATAAAAGAAAATAAGTATTTTTAGACGAACAGTTTTTTTAGTTAATTTTTGTGCAATGGATTTGCAGAAAGAGTTTAAAATTTGTTAGTTCTAAATAGTAGTTAGTAGAAGATAATAAGAAAGATATTAAAAAAATAGGTACTAAAATCCTAGTAAATTTACAAGAATAGAAATAATGTAATGTAATAATTAAACAAATAACTCTTATAACTTAAATATTAGATAACTAGAATATATTATATAAAATTAAGTTAACTATATATAAGATATAACAAACTCTAATAAGTCTTTTATCAAAAATAAAATAATTCCAAGAATACTAATAAGTATTATAAACTTGAATAAACTGTCTTTAAAGATGTTTACATGATACAAGAAGATTACATATATAAAAGATTTAAATAAACAAAACTCATAATCAATTTGTAAATCTAATATTTAGTATAAAATTTATATAATAATATATAAACAAACTATTTAAATTAGATATTAAAAGTATATATATAATTAGTATAATCTTTACTGTAAAGAAACTTCTAAAGACATTCATGATTTACAAAAATCTAAATAAAAATATTGCTCTTTAAAAATAAAAACTTTAACTTAAAAAAAAAATTCAATAATTTGAATTAGATATAATTAATTCTTTTCAATGATCTTTTAGTCAATAATAATAACAAACTGAACTATAGAAAAACATTATAGTAAGGTTAAGAAAGAAAATACTCTTAGTTCTATATAAAATAAGTTGTTATTAACAAAGCCAAAATAGACATAAAATACTGAGAAGTAGGTGTTCTTGTAGTTGTTTAAAGAGAAGTTAAACTTTCCTTCTTAGTGAATTTTTTATTCATTCAACATTCAAACTAAAAAGATATTCTAGAAACAATTGTAAAAAAACCCAAACCAGGACTATTGAAAACTTGGAGTAACTACTATACAAGTGTAAAACTTACTTGAAGAATCATATATAAAAATTGATGTCCCTTATTTTTTTTTAAAGAAAATTTTATAAAAATGAATGATTTAGTTTATCTCTTTCAAAAGATTGATACATAAAATCATCAAAATAGTCATTAATGTTTATCTCCTAAATAGGATTGTTATTACATAGATTGGAAACAATACAGTAACACAAACATAGCTCATACATGTACCTCAAACTGCTGAAATTCTGTGAAATACTGTTTCTAGACTACCTAGTGTCTTATATTAACTCTTTATATTCAAGTTGAAGTTTTATCCTATATAGTTTTTGTTATATATTCTAAATAAATAGAAACATAATAGAGTTAATTCTATTTAGTATAGTTTATAATTTTTAAAAACCTAATATAGACTTATAATTGTAACTATCTGATATTTGTATAATAAAAGTTATATATATATATATTTTTTTTTGTTTTTTCTTTTCTCTTCTTTTATTTCTTGTATTTGTATTTTTTATTATCTATTCTTATATCTCTATGTTTTTTCTATATAAATTATTTTATTTTTGTTCACTTCTCTACAAGAAGATGTTATCAAATTAGCAATATCCTATTGTAAAACGATGGTTGAATACAACCTTTGACATGTTCTAATTTCTTTTGAAGTTAGACAGTCAGTGCAAGCAGATCACTTATAGAGACTCATAGAAACACTTGCATGATGTTAGGTCAGAATTTATGCAATAATTTGTATGTATGTAATGCAAAAATATATAATAAAAGTGATCAGCAAGACTGCTCAAGTGAAAAAAAAAAAAAAAATTTTTTTTGAATTAGACTGAAGACAAAATTTAAAGATTTTAAACACTGTAATCTAAAAATAAAAATCAAATCAGATGCAAAACCTTGTAAAAAGTTCTATAATAAAATATAAAGAATTTCTGAAAGAAGATTGAATTTGAATTTGATTTAATTTAAATATTTATTTCGATTTACACAATCGCTACTCTGATCGACCAATTAGAATGCAAGATCAGATGTAACGTGAAATCGTAGAATAATCGTCTATAACTCATGAAACCGCCTTTTACGTTCTAATCCTTGCAAAATTTTAGATTAAAAACTCTTTTTCCTAAAGCCACGTCTAATTCTAGTCTAATGCTAACCCTAACCTTAAACTAACGCATTTTATTATTGTTTTGATTTAACGTTACACATGATTTTATAAGCGACGATACATCGCATAGGCGAAAAATTATAGAATCCAATAAACAACTTCATTAAATATTGATTGATTTAATAGTTAAAATAATTTGATCTAAAATTAAAAGGTTTTTATATTTCTATTAACTCACTTATATAACAAATAAATTTATATATATATGCTTATATAATTTGCTTATACAAACATATTATTTATAAAATAGATTATAAAAACAAACTGATTAAGTAATTTGATATTTCTAAACTTAGTCACATCAATTTATAATTTAACTCAAAGAGGGTAACAGTTTAGCTTAAATAGCACATGAAAATAAAACTTTTCACTAGTTTTTGATCTTCAAATGACCATTCCAAATTTATATTTTTATGCAATCAAGCAACGCAAATACCGAGACCATTATCGTACCTTTGAAATAATGAATTGAAATAAAACAGATGACTACATTGCCATAGGAATTTTATTGTTTTTTTTTTTCAATAAGAGTTCTGTAAACAGTCTAAAAACAATTAAAGCCAATCAAATACCTAAATAAATATATTATTAGTTTTTTGTTACTTTTCAATAAAAGAACCCTACAAAATTTACATTCAAATACAATATCAGACAATAAATATAAAAAAGATACGCGTAATAAAAAATAAAATAAATTACAAACCAAGAAGTTTTCCACCAATATGCTTTCTCCTAGCTTCGTGATGATCCATGATACCAGCACTTGTGGTTAGAACTGTTTATAAAAAAGATGTTAGATAGTTAAATGGAAATGGCAATTTTATAGTGCTAAGTATTTACCCAAGAAACCAAATTGACGTGAAGGTAACAAATTGTTAACCCATTTCTCGATATCCTCTAATTTAATATTAAAGCGAGGTGATATGACACCACATTTGTTCAGCCGACCATTTAGTTGGATAACAATTTTTCCGGACCGGTGGTCATCAATTTCTTCGAATTCACCGATATACTCTATTTTAAACATGAAATATGATAATTAATATAAATTATAAGATGGAAATGTAGAAAGTATCAAACACCAAAACGTATTGTATAATAAGACAGATTGGCGTGTAAGATATACTTTTCTTAAACGTGTTAATATTTCGAAGCATTAAAAAACAAGAGTAAATAAAGATTAAAATGCTCTTGTTCAGTTATAACTTCGATTAATTGGAAATAATCAATATTATTTGAAAGTATTTTATTACCATGCTTTTGCATTACACTTAAAAATTTGACTACGACCTTAGAGGAAGGCCGAATTAGCACTTGACGCTTGCCACGTTTTTCAGCATTGACAATATTATAAAGACAGTCATTCTAAAACGACAAGTTATTAACATATGGTTCATAAGCACAGAATAATCAACTTTATCAATTCACATTAAGGCCAACATACCAAAACTGAAATTCTAACCATTGTGCCTCTTTTTTTTTTTTTTTTTTTTTTGATCTATAAAAAGATTAAATCCACACAAATTTGTGTTTTAGATCGGTAAGACATTCATGTGATAGTTACACAAGATTAATTGTAACGTGGTGATTGTAACAGCATCCACGCTACGTAACAACACCTCATGTCACATTTAATTTATATCACACCCCATGTTACAATTAATCTCACGATGCCCATATAGTGCTGCTAAGGAAAAACTTGTAAGTACAGATTTAAAATTTTACTGTCGCTATTGCTATGCTTGACTAAATTCAGAAAAATCTGTACTTACAGGTTTTCGCTTGGCAACTTTTATATAATTTATATAATTGGCAAGTTACAGAATTAAAATTTTATGATTATGATGATATATCGATCTGCATATGTAACACCCTAAGGTAGTTGATTATCATACGTATTCATCCAATCAACATAATAATAAGAATTTATTGTCTCTTAACGTTTTTTCTAGCCGAAAATGCCGACTGTAAACGTGGATAAAAATGAACTTTATCAGGTTCTTGGAAAGAATTATAGTAAGTGGAGGCGACGGTCATTAGAAAAGTTTGTAAACTCTAATAACGTTTTACTACAAAAATGTTTTCATATAATTCCTTGTTTCAACTTACTTTTTTATTCTTAGCGACGGACGAGTTTCGTGAATTATGTTTTGAATTCGGAATTGAACTTGAGGAAGACGTACGAATGCTAATTTTTATATTGAATAGACATTTCATAATGTGATGCATGAGAATAACCTTAATATTTTACCGGCTTAAGCTAGACTTCTGAAAAAGAAATGGTTAGTAAAGAAGTTGGAGCAGCCAAAGCTGAGGGATTATCAGAACGGCCAATTTTAAAGATCGACATCCCTTCTAATAGGTGAACAAATTTTAGCATACATCCAATAAATTGTTTGAACAAATGAATTATAAATTTATAAGAGATTACATACATTTTATGTATCGTATAAATGTTTTTAGATATGATCTTCTTTGTCATGAAGGTATTTCTCGTGCCTTACTAATTTTTCAAGAAAAGGCAAATCCGCCATCTTATAAACTTGTTGAGCCAGCGGGTGAACATGTACAAATATTGATAAAGCCTGAGGTTTGTACATTGTGAAAAGACAATACTAATATGCCCTTATTAAATGAGTTCTTTAATTAATAATATTTATGATTTTTTGGTAGACTGCTCAAATACGACCTCATATAGTTGGAGCTATTCTTCGAAATATTAAATTCACTGAAAGAAGTTATAACAACTTTATCGATTTGCAAGATAAATTGCATAACAATATTTGCAGGTATTAAAGACTTCAGAGTCAATTTGATAAGTCATATGGATCGGATTTAAAAAGATTTTTTATTTTTTTATAAAGAAAACGAACTCTGGTTGCAATTGGAACTCATGATTTTGATACAATTAAAGGACCTTTTACTTATGAAGCTCTTCCACCAAAAGAGATAAAGTTTGCACCGTTAAATCAAAAAAAAGAAATGAACGGAGAGGAATTAATGAATTTTTATACGGTAATTTTATTTTTATTTTTTGTGAAAAATTTTATAACGCGTACTAATATAACATATAACACATTTATGAATTACATTTTATAGACCGATAAACATCTCGGAAAATTTCTTCATATAATCCGTGATTCATCCGTTTATCCGGTCATCTATGATGCAAACCGGAATGTTTGTTCCTTACCTCCAATAATTAATGGAGATCTTTCAAAGATTACATTGAATACGACAAATGTATTCATTGAGTGTACTGCAACTGATTTAACAAAGGCTAAAATTGTTTTAAACACTGTTGTAACAATGTTTTCTGAATACTGTGAACAGCCATTCACGTGAGTTTCGATTATATTTTATTATTTTAAGTAAATTATAACATTACTAATAAAATTTGATATTTAAAGTGCGGAACCTATTAAGGTCATATATCCTGATGGGACTCAATGTATTTATCCGGATCTTTCACCTCGTTCTATGACTGTGAAAACTGATTATATTAATGCTTGTACGGGGTTAAGCCTTGAAACTTCAGAAATATTAACACTCTTAAAACGTATGTCGCTTTCGGCTAAAGCTGCGAACGAAGAAGCTAAAATCTTGGTTGATGTACCGCCAACTAGAGCAGATATTTTGCATGCATGTGATATAATGGAGGATGTCGCTATTGCATATGGATTTAATAGAATTCCAAAAACTTTGCCAGGTTGTGCAACAGTAGGTAAAGCATTACCTATTAACAAATTAAGTGATGTTGTAAGAAGAGAAATAGCGTTGTCTGGTTGGACGGAAGTTTTACCATTGATTTTGGTGAGTAGCTAAAATAAAAAACATTCACATTCATCTGGAATAATTTAATAACCATTTGACAAATTTCAAATAGTGTTCGCACGACGAAAATTTTGCATTCTTAAACAAAAAAGATGACAATCTTACTGCAGTGAAATTGGCGAATCCTAAAACAGCGGAATATCAAGTTGTTCGTACTTCACTATTACCAGGTGTATTGAAAACTGTGAGAGAGAATAAAAAACATACTTTGCCAATTAAAGTTTTTGAGGTATCAGATGTCGTTTTCAAAGATAATTCTTTTGAAAGGCTATCAAGGAATGAAAGACACGTATGCGCAATTTATTGTAATAAAGTGTCTGGATTTGAGGTACGTCAATTATTTAGTTTAGTTCGTGTGGTATTTTGTGAGTCACAATATCATAGGATATAATAAAATTTAATAACATTTGGTTTAATAGATTATTCATGGACTTGTTAATCGCATTATGGATATGCTTAATGTGAAACTTGTTTCAGCTTCAGATAATGAAAAAGGATATTTTATAAAGGAATCTGATGGTATGTTGATTTTTTTCTTTTTACAAGTGATTAATCATTTTATACTTTGACATTTACACAAAACTGATAATTTATTGTATTTCAATTATAATCAGATACAACATATTTCCCAAATCGAAGCGCGGATATTTTTCTTCGGACGGAAGAGACGTCTTCAATTATCACAAAAAAGATAGGAAGCTTTGGAATTTTGCATCCGAATGTTCTAGAGAATTTTGAAGTAACCTATCCTTGTTCTGCTGTAGAATTTAATTTGGAAGCATTCATGTAATCAGATTTGGATTTCTGTTATTTTATTCATATTTATTATAATGAATAATATACGGTTTTAAACCAGAATATTTATTCATCAAGTCGCCACATAAAGATTTAAAATTTGTGTAATTTTCAATTTAATTATCGTTACGAACGGTTAGGCCAGAACAACTTGATTCTTTGTTTAACATAACACAAAATAACTGTAAGAAGGGGGTGGGGCATTGAAAAAAAAACACAAAAATATCAATACTGCAATTTTATTGGTTGATTTTACATATATTGGTTATGTAAAATTTAAAAAATTGAGGAGGGCAAATACTACGTATTAATTACTATTAATATGTATTGAATTCATACGTATAAAATTTAAAAAATAGAGGGGGGCTATGTTAAACAAAGAATTAAATTGGTCTGGCCTTAGTTGCGTGTCCCTGTCGTTTCATGTGATAATATAATTAATGTGCAAATTGATTGGTTAAAAACCTTAAACCAATCAAGGCAACACGTTAACCTTTGTTATTATCATTATGATTTAAAGTCTTTATAATTAATACGTATTAATAAGTCGTACGTACTAAGTGAACTATAAATTATTGTATTACTTGTACGTATTATAAATGTTAGCAAAATTCTTAACTTTGGTTTAGTTACGTATAAGTATAAGTATACATAAATTGCTACGTACCGCTACGTAGAGTTTATCTTTATATAATAAATCCGGTTAAAAACTAGGATTTGATATACGGGAACACCCACAGCAAATGGGAAGGTGGGACTATATAAATAATATAGTTTTTAATAAATCACGGATAAAAAACGTCTTTAGTCCGTTTTTAAAATGTCAGAGGATTCTAGATACGTATAAGAACATATGAAATACGTAGCTTACATTATGTTATTGCATTATATATTAAGATTGATTTTTGTTGGATTAATTTATGGAATACTCGTTTTTGTTACATGTGGTGTAGCTAGTCTTATTCTTGATATTGGTAATTTTGTGAGAGATAACAAATGGCGAACAGTTACTTCAACAATACTTGTTACAGCATCTACGGTCTTTTTTATCTTGAGTTTTTTGATTACAGTCAACGTATTCTAAACCTAACCTGAATAAACCAACTCTGTAACTAACTGAACACAAAACTTTAGAACATTTATAAATTCTATTAATAAGTTTGGATTAGAAACAACAAAATTTCTAAACTGGACTTGTTTAAGCAGGGTTGATTGTATTGCTTTTGCTTTATTTATTATAAGTAATGTATTGTTCCTATCCATAAATGTTGCAACTTTATGGAATTTATACAGAAAATCAGGAATTATTCAAATACGTAGCTTTTTTTACAGGATATTATTAATTATTATATATTATTATATATTATTGTTATTATTATGATCCAGTATATTATTACAGTATTATTATTATGATCCAGTATATTATTACAGTACTATTATTATTATTACTATTACTTATTATTAATATTATTACTTATTATTATTATTATAAAATGTACTAAAACGTACTCTTGCAAACTTTTTTAAAACGTTGTATTGCATTAAGAAGCATAGATGAAATACAAGAACGTATCAATGCTTTTGTTTCCCGGAATAACCAAGCAAATGGGAACACTACTAATATATGTTATTGATCTCTCCGCAGTATTTCAAATATTATAAAGAATTTTCTAAACTTGTCATATTAACTTTTATCCTAATACTATTGTCCTCATCTCTTTATGACAACACGATATCTCGCGATCCTGTGATTGGATTGGAATGATTCTAGGCTCATTAGAATCGTCTTAAAGAGATGACACAATAGTATTAAAATTATTTTAAAAATATTTGTTAAAAGTTATTTGACCTTGAAATTTTAAAAAAAAACTAATCCTAATTCCATAATCGGGGAGGAGATAAAACATGTGACAAATTTAGGGTTCGATTGGTTTATATAAATAGATTGATCTTCTGATCGGCCCGTGTCACGTGATTATCATCTTTAGAAACCCCCGTAGCTTAGAAGCAAGGACCCTAAAAAATTTCAAAAGGATTAAAAAACAATAAATCACAATTTTTAATAAAACTTGCTCTATAAACCAATTTTATAACTTTTTCATATATAGTAGATTATACAATAAATTGGATTGGCTAGCTATTTTAGTACACAAATCAAATTTGCATAAGTTTGTGTAACTTATTAATCTACTGGGTATATAAAAAAAATTTTACATGTAAGAGGTGTGACAACCTAGTAAAGTGGACAGGTTGTCAACTTTTAATTAGCAGATTTAAAGTTCAAATTTTAGTGATGCCAAAAATTTGCAATTTTTTTTGTATTATAGTTAACTGTTTTTTGTGATTGGTTGGGATTAGATACCTGTAATCTATATTATATTAGCATGACTGAAAGGTTTAAGTATTCATACAACATTGTATAAAGTAACATAAACTGATATTAATCAAAATAGAAGCCTACTTGAAAGATTTAAATAAAGAGATAACCTGAACTTTTGATAGTATTATTGTAAAGACTAATCTATAAAACAACATATATAATCTGTAAAACCAAGCAAATGTGTTAGTTTTTAAGAAAAAACTAGATAAACCAACCAGGCTACTAAAATGTTTGGATTTTTAAAAAAAAGAGTACATGTTAGAAGATTATGTAAATTAGAAGTACTTATCTTTTTAGACTATCTGGTTTGATAGCTTTGTGGAACTTGATTTGAATACCAAAGTAGTAGAGATATATTGTAAAGTTAGTACTAAAATTAGAATAAACTCTACAAGAACATAGCAATTTACTAATATTTTCTGATCATTAGTGTTGATCTTAGCTATAACAATATTAAATTAGTTGTAAGAATAAGATACAAAAGATTTTATAAAGTTTAGTACAAGATTAAAAGTTTTTTATATAAGTAAACTGCTTTAAAAACTTAGTAGTTATAAGATATTTTTATTGTTATTAGTTAGGGTCATTAGTAGATGAAAATAGATAAGTAAATACAAGAACCAAAGTATTTAAATAAGGAATCTATAAGTAGGTTCCAGAAATAATAACTAGTATAGAACCTTTTGATGGACTACTTAAATTAGACAATAACTAAAGTTATATAAATGTTTAGTTGTATACTCTTTTCATAATTGCTCTCTGTAGTTATAATGCAACTATTAGTCAAATATACTATTAATAAAATTCTGAGTTGCAAATACTCATTTTAATATTTTTTTTTTTTAAAAAAAAAATTTATATGTAAAACAAACTTTGATTTTATTATCAATTTTAAAAGATGAATTTTAATATTTTAAATATATAGTTGTTTTGGTATTATAATGAACAAGTAACAAGATAATTAGTGTTGTAACAAATAAGAATAAGTAAATATAAACAAAATAAAACTGCCAAACTAATAACATCTTTTTGAGAAAAAAAAACTAATTGTAAAAAATAAAATATTATATTTGATTTTTAATATCTTATAATATAAGTATTATATAATTTATTTGCTTTTTATTAAACATAATAGCTTGTTTTAAATACTATATCAAATTATTATAACAGATTATGCAAATGAATTTTTAAAACATTTTTTTAAGAATTATAAATTTTTGATATGTTGATTTTGTAATAACTTATTAATTATAATATAAAATCAATTATTATAAGATATATAAATAGTTCTATGCATATTATAAATAAAAAATTAAAAAAACAATGTAAGATAAGATTAAAACAACAAATATTATTTATATTAATAAATGTAATACAAAAAAAAAGAAACAATCCTAGATTTAGTTGAAATATTTATTTTTATTTTTATTTTTTATTTATTTATTAAAGCCAATGTTATTGGTTGCTATCACTTTTATTTGTGTTTTTGGTCAATACATTATATATAACTTGTACAAAGTAAGTGTGCAACTAGCCACATATGTAACTTTTGGTTACCTATTTAAGTAGTCTGCCCAAGGGTTCTACACTAGCTGCCATGTCTGTAACCTACTAAAAAGGTACTTATTTAAACACTCTGATCCTTATACTACACCCAGATGAGTAACACCTGGTTCCTGTACAACTAAGTGTTATCCAACCCAACATTTAGCTTCTTCTTTTGTACATCTGTCAAGCTGTTAAACATTTCAGAATACATCATCTGACTGTAAGGTTCCAGGATACTCTCTTGTTAACTACCTACTCTACAGAATATTAACAAGGCTAACCTTTGTAGAGTTTATCCAAACCCTAGCACCTACTTTATAACATATTCTTAATACTTATAATATACCTCTGCTTTGACCTCAGACTCCCAATCCAGATAGTCTGATAAAACTGTGACCTGTTCTTGGTATATCAAGCCAGTCTGATATCCTTTTTCTCTGGTTCAGTTCTAGTGGCCTGGTTGGTAGTACTCCTCACCTGAGGTTCTTGTTCATCCAACTTCTCCACATTGGTATCTGTTTTCTAGGTCTAACCTTTACAGTGGTACTGTTGAAGATCTGTATTACCTTTCTACTCAGGTCTTTCTAAGTGGGCTCTGGTTTCCTAGTTCTACAGATTTACATAGCTATAAGAACTTATTTTAGGT